TTGAAATGGTGTTTTTTCAGGATTTTAATTATTGATAATTTGTAGGACTTTTAAAATGGAACCAAAAGGAAGTTGATAAGGGACAGTTCTTGTATAAACTGGCTGTAGTTTCACTGGACTGTTTTTGTCGCCTTGTTAAGAAAGTGCCACATTTTAATTATTCTGAAGACATCCTCAAAAGAGTGATTCAAGTATCAGCATGTAAAAACGACGAAGTAGGCTAATTTTTCAAATCGTTGTGTTTTTTTATTCGGTTTTCACGAAGGTTTCTGTCTAAAATCTGTTTCCTCCAAACTCAGCTGCTGTTTTTCTGCGTCAGCTTTTTTGTTTCTTTCAGAGTGCGTGAGTAGCAAAAAAGTTTCCGAATGAAAAATTTTGTTTTTTTTCTTTAGTTTCTTGAAATAGCAGATTTCCTCAATCTAACCTATCTGCAATGTTCTATTCTTCCTCTCAAGTTTTCAGATCAAGATTTTAACAGGTTAGGCGATAGCTGTGCGATACAAAATTAACAAGTTTTGTAAGGTTCAAACAGCTAATGCTCTTAAATATTTTTTTCCGAATAAAACAAGTGGAAGGTTTATTAAGTTCTGAAATAAGACAACAATTTCCAGGTAACAGAAAAGTGTTGCGAAGCAATTGGTCATGTTTTTCATGATGACCTATTGTTCCGGATTTCTGCTGTTGGCGCGCGTTCTATTGCTTCCGTTGTAAATCAGAGGCACTGCGACGTACCACCGAAACTTTTAGCAACTTTCCTAATGTTAAACATTAAGGTATCAGTTCTGTATTATATATCAAAGTAAAGCATTGACGTTAACTATTTGTCTTAAACACTTTATGAGTGGATGTAGTTTCAATTTCAAATCCATCTGCATCTGGTCACCAGTATTTGGTTTGTTTTGATTTTTTTTTCTTGCAGTCTGTTGGTGTCTTGCTCAACCTATAAGCACTTTTGCATTCTCATTACACGACACGAGATATTTCAGATTTTGTTTAGGAGACGAATAAAAACAAACACACTGATGTAAAGCAAAAATTGGTGAGCAGAAAGTACCAGTTAATAAAAGAGAGAAAGTCTAAAAGTAAGAACAAGGTGAAATTTTATGTTTTCTCGAAAGTACACCTGAGTTTGCATGTTCTTCCTGTGATCGTATGACAGTTAACTCCTCATCTTATTCCAGTTTGCAAAGCAGCTTTCAAAGCTTGAAGCGGATCTGAAGGAAGCCGAAGCAGCTGAGTCGTTAACAACAAAGTTAAAATATGTAAGTAAAGAAATTTATTACCATTCTTTCTCTCTGTCTTATAACTCGTTTTTTTAATCCCAAAAATTATTGGTGCAGTAGCTTTCAGTCCACGGAGACAATGAATTTTGTTTTTGCGACGTATTTCCGGGTTTTGAAGAGAATGCCGGATAGTAAACTTCTTGATCCCGTCCTTGAAGGACTCAGCAAATTTGCACATCTCCTTAATATCGAGTTCTTTGACAGCATCATTGGCGCCTTAGAGTCGCTTGTTGAACAACAAGTTACACCTTTTCTTGTTACTAGAGAAGCAATTACTTAAAAATTTGACTTTCCTTGACTAAAATGTACTACTTTGCTACTGTTTCTTACTTTCTTGCTCAAGCTACATCTTTGTCGTTATTTAAGGTTGGTATTTAAAACAACTAACAGAATTTTTCCAAACAATTTCGCATACTGCCTTACATTGTACTAACCAATATTTTAGCACTTAAGCTTATCGAGTTCACTTCACTGTATTTATGCTGTCTTCATTGTGCTTTCTGGTGAAGGTGTTGCAATCAATATCGACCCTTTACGATTTTACAAGTCAATGTACCGGGTGTTACCGAGTCTTCCATTCGAAAGGACTTATGGTAGTACTTAGGATGAATCATTCTCGCTTAATTTTACTTTTTTAAATAATTTCTGCGCGCTTTTACACTGACTTCCTAAAATTATTTTTTCTATATTTTTACTCCGAAGGTGCTTCATTATTTCGTCAGGTATTAAGTTTTTTAAATTTTTTGGTTTTTTCAGTGGATTAGTGAAATCAAAAAGTTTAGCAGTAGAGTACATTTTTTCGTTTAAAATTCTGTCTTTTATGCTTTATGCTTCTGGCAAAAAATTATTGCTTTTGAAGAGTTGACGCCTTATTTATAAGTTTGGTCATGTAAAAATTTATTTTCAGGGAAGGTTTCGAAAGCAAACATTTAGAAATGTGCAGTTGCACTGTACTTTATTTTTTAGGGTTGAAGTTACTTTTAGCAATTTTAATTGTAGAATTTGCTCTAAAATTTGTGCCTTTAGCACGATGAACGAGCAGTTGGATATACAAAGCTTTTTACCTTTCGACTTATTTGGTTTATAGCTTTGTTGAACTTGTTATTTTTTAGATGTTATGAGAAAGCAGGTGGCACTTGCTCTGCGAACACTGGAAATAATGCTGATTGTACGGAGAAAGCAGGTTCCGCTAGCTAGAGTTGCTGCGTTTACAAAGCGTCTTCTAGACGTTTCTATTTTTATGCCAGCTCCTTGTACGGTCGCTATTCTGGCTCTCGTTCGGAATATTTTAGTGGTTTGTTTTAGTAATATGTTAAAGATTTGACTAATTTGTTATTATTACAGGGTTTTTCTAGGCTCATCCTCGATGTGCACCGCTAGTCGACGGATCAGATTCTATTTGTGGCGGGTTTTTCAGACCTGACCTTGAAGATCCTGATTGTTGCAATGGTCTTTCAACCGATTTTACTGCTGAACTGAGAGTTTTGTCGAAAGTTGGTGCTTTGAGCAATTTTAAGAGTGTTCTCCGTATTGATAACTCGTAGTTTACAATATTTAGCACACGGAAAAAACAGTTAGAGCTTTTGCTGGCCACATTCGAGCTGGGCTTCCTTCTGCGGGACAGTACCATTTAGAAACGCGTATCTCGACAAGGTTTGTTTTTAATAGTGCTTCTTCGTAGTATATTGTTTATTTAGCTAATAAACGGCTAAAGATGAGGGCTACCTTTTAAGTTTGATTTTCACCTGAACTGTAAGTAGTTCTACCTTTTGTAACTTTTTGGTTTGCAGCCACTTTCTTCTGTTTTTCTTTTTTGAGCAAGTTTTTGCTGTTTTTGTTTTATTATGTGAAATCTTACTTCAGTAATTGTCTCTCTCCTATAAACTTCTATTAAAGTTTGATATATTATGAAGAATCTTCCATATTCTCTGATTTCTTACTTTTTTAAGTGCTAATTTTTGCTCTCATTTTCTCTGCTGCATTTCTCATTGTCAGGTTACTTTTATTGGGAAAAGTACTTTGTCATTTTCTTTAGAAAGCCATGCGATTGGTTAGACGAAATACATATTGATTCAGCGAATGAAAGTCGTCCTTTTTTCTACTCTTCAATATTAGATTATTGTAAGGTAGGGAAAATTAAGTTATATCTGCTTGTGATTTCCAGCATGAACGAGTTTCTTTTTTTCTTTTTTTCTTTTTTTTCTGTTACTCTCTATTGCTTTACCTTTTGAATACTTGCCAACGTAACCTTTATTTTTTCAAAGGTTTTCAGAAGAAGAAGTGCTTGATAACATCGAAAAACTTGCAGACTTTATTATGTGATTGGACTAAATTTTATTTGGAAGATTGAAGTTTGCTGTCACAATTACTGTTGTAAATTCTTGTTGACTTTGTGGTAACTGTTTTTGTCCTTTGTTTGGTTTGTTTTCGTTCTCTTTCTTACTATTCTCGTTGCAATTTTAATAAGGGTGGTTTTAATGGTTTGTTTTTTTTAAATTAGAAGTAGTCTTTGTAAAATTTTTTTGAATTGTCAAGACCCAGAAGTCTTGAAAAGTTAGAATTTTAGTTTTACTAACATTTTATCTAAATTAATTTACAGAGTAAATCGAAGTAAATAAACGAATAAATAAATTTATATTGTCTTTATTTAGTGCTTTTAAAAAAAGAGAAAGACATTTGTGTTCTACGTGAATTTTTCAAAATTATAAGACTGGTGCTTGTGCATAGTATAGCTGAGGTAATGAGTTTCGTAGAATTTGGGGTGACTTTTCCTTAAGTGCATTTTGATGCACTATTTTTTCAATTGTTGTTTAGGCTGCTGTATTTGGTGCTGTTTATCCGAACGGATTTATACCAGAAATCTACTTACGGCCTTGTGCAAATTGCTGCAATATGTTTTTAACCATAAATAGTGTTGCGGTGGGAGCATCATAAGCAACCTGAAAACAGCAGAGTTTGCTCTGGTTTTTTAATGTCTGCAGTAACGTTCATTACATCAAGTCCAAATTTAATTAAATTAGAGGAACTACCATGTGGCCTGCTCGTAGTATGTACCAGAGTTGTAAATTTCTGTAACTTTTATAATAACCATCTGGCCCAAATGAAGAGGGGGTTTTGAAGGACGTTTTCTTTGCTGTTTGGAATGTTTGCAAGCCGCTCCATTGCAGGCGCTTTATCCATTGTTCTGTTCCTGGAAGAACAGAATTGCAGACTAGCAGTAATTGACTGTTTGACTAAAGCATGTTATATTCTGCAGATCTTTTTAGCTCTCCAAAGCTGATTGACGAACTACTTGATTTTTTAGCAGGAACGAAAAAATGCTTGATAGTGAAGCATTAGTTTTGTGATTTGCCGGGGCATGATTTTGGTAATTCACAAACAAGTTACCTATAGTGTCGCAAATTAGATCCAGTTGCCCATTGTAAATGATAACATTGACATTTTTTGCAAGCAAGAAGTCAACTGAAATTTGCTTTCTTATAGAATTTCTTTAATGACGGCTTAAATTTTCAATCACTGAGCGTAGAATTTGACGGGATTTTTGAAACAGCTATCTATGACTGTGTCTGGGGAAGTTTTATAAGCGTTATTGGTGAGTGTTAAACCGAAGTAACTTTTCAGTTTCCATTCTACTTTTGCTTACCAGATTGCTTGTTGAACGTTGCTCCTAGTTTCCCAATTTCTCTTATTCAAAGTTTTACATTAATGCTCAAGTTTTTCGCTAATAGCCAATTATGTGCCTAATAGAGTTAAAATTTTTTAATTTATAAAAAAGTTTGGTGCAGTGGGTTGGTGATCATCCAGTGTAACTTTGAGATTTCCAAAGTACTTTTAGAATATTCGTAATGTTGGTTTAGCTTTACATATCACTGGTCCTTGTAATAAAAAGATACGTTGATTAAAGTTTAGTTGAAAGTAAAAGTTTATTTTTTTAATCTTTGACACAAAAGTGTACCTGTGTTATAGTTGGGCTTCATAAAGTCACCAGTTTGTTTTTCGAAAACTTTTTCAGACTGGGCTAAAATGATCGTTGCGTAAGTTGAAGCTGTGTGGATCAAGTTTTAAATTTTCAAGCATATGCTGTTCTTGAGAAGAGAGAATAACTGTCTAGTGTTTTTTAGGTGTTAAAAACGGATAAAATTACCTCCGAAGTGAACTTTGTCTGGTATGACTCCTAGTCTTTTACGCACTACTGTATCCATGTAAGTGCTCAGTTGGTCTTTTTGATATGGGGCAAGTTGCTTCTTATAAGTAAGTTCTGAAACAGCGATGTCATTTTCAGCTATATATTTTAACGGACCAAATGCTTTTACGTGTGCTACATTTGGTAAACAAAATATCGTTTTGGTGTTAATACACTCACGAGCAGGATTTTTTGATTTTGCTGTGGCCGACCACTCGTCTTCTCCACCAGCCTTCATTATATTGTACCAACTAACATTATCGGTTAACTGAAAACTACAGTAACGTTTTAAAACGAGAAAAAAGCAAGAATGCTAAGTTACCTTGGTAATTAAGTCTTCGGTGCTTCCCCAACAGTCGGTTGCATTCGCCCATTGTTTCTTCATGACCATATTCCAGCATTGGTCGGTCTGTTGTTTTACTTGTTTTGCTTGATGCTCGTCAAGAAACGACTGAAATTTTACAGCAGGTTTAGAATCAGTTCATTGCTGAGATGAAACCGCTGCTAAAATATCATTTTCACCATGGCAAACAAGTATTTTCCCCATGTATCTACGTAGTCAATTCCCGAAATCCAACTGTCACCAAGCGCAACTGCTCTCAGGTCGATAGGAAATTTGTTTGAATACTGCAAGTAGTAAAATCGTTTGGGCTATAATTTTGTCATGTGTACTGAAGAAGCTTTTGAAATATTTGACAAGAAAGGAGTATTATTAGCGGGGTAGTTCATTAGATGACTTGTCTTGCTTGGAGAAGTAATTAGCGTTCTAATTCACGTGCATCTCAACCTTTTCGTTAATTAAGTTTTTGAAGAATTTAAAATACATATTTGTTGCAGGAGTATTTAATCTGTTTTAGCGTCATATTTTCAGTGACTGACTTCAGTAATGACTCTGGCAAACTGAGCAGCCATTTTACCACCGTAAGATTCACAGAAGATGTAAAATGGCCTTGTCTTGTAGTCTACGTGCAACGAAAAGAAATTTATCGCCCATACCATCAAGTCTAAATTTGAAACACTGTTAAAGGCGGAGAAAGGGACAGTTTCAGTTAGGTAGTTTCAAATTTTAAAAAATTTTTCTCATTTCAACGATCTAGCTTTAGCAAAGCGATGAATGAATTGCCTCTGTAACTTTATTTGCTAAACAACTACCAGCTGCTATTTGGTCGACATCGGTAGTGAAAGCTGAATCTTCGTCAACATAACTAAAGCCGGCTCCAACTGGATTATCCACAAACACTAAGTCTGCCAATTGTAACTGAAAAGGACTTTTTTAATGATCGAGCTGAAGCGTGTTTTACTGCCTTAAAAGTGGTGGGGGATTTAATTGAACGTGAAAAGGTATTACCCAAGTGTAGTTCCTATCATTACCGTCTAGATCTTTTGGGCCAATTTCTTCAAAGTTTCCAAAACCGGTGCTTGACGCTCCTGGTCCTCCCTTTAAAACTGGATATTCTGAATCTTCTGCTGTGGTTTTATTAATATTATGCCAGAAAAGATAAGTAAGTTACAAGTGTGAACTAGGTATATGGCAACAACTTTTATATGATATATAACAAATCTTGAATTGTTGACTTCAAAAACACCAAAATTTTGGTGAGGTTTCCGATGATAGTCAACACGCACAGGAAAAGTAATGACTAAAAAAGTTTAGTGATCTATGTATAGCTTCAGTGACTTCAGTGCGACTTTTATGAACTAGACAATCATGAAAATAGGAGCTACCTGAAGCCAAAGAATTAGAGGTCTTGTATATGAAGACGAATTAGCTTTATACAGCCACCAAAACATATGTGCTTTGGGTCTGACGTTTACATATCCAAAATGCTCTGTATACTCGATAGTTCCAGAAGACGTTATTACTTTTTCAGTGGTAGATAAGGAACAGCATGACAAAATTAGAAGGACTAGGATAAACATTTTATTGAAACCTGAAATGATGCTCTTTGCTGACAGAATAAATTCAAATATGTGATACGGTAGGCTGGTTAAAAAAGCAAGTCCAGGTTAAATGATTTAAAGTATTCTCCATCGAATTTGATGAAGAACAATTTATAGTTCGTTAAGCAAATGTTCATCAAATGCAACAACTTAATTCGTACAACATAACGAAGAGTCATGGTAAATAAAAGAATATCGAAAAGTATAAAGTTTTTATTATATCCTTCTTTCAAAATTTTGACATTATAGTTTAAAAATTTCTGCAGCGATTTACAGTTTATTAAGTTTAGCTAATGATACGTGTTTTTTAATTAACAACTGAAAAAATATTTAGGAAATAACAGTAAACAATTTATACGATTACAATATATGAAAAAATATACAGATAAGACAGGTGAACATTGATGAATGCTGATTTCTTGATATGGTCACAACAGGGCCGGAAAAACTGCTGTCAAATGATCAAACGAAAAATTTTTTTACTTGAACATACCATCAGATTTTGGGGACATTAATATTAACAATGAGTGGAGATCAAAGGTAAAAATAAAGCCAAAAAAAAAGGGAAGCTCTTTTTTGTTGTTGCTGTTTTTTTTCTTTGGAACGATAAATCAAAATTCATGAAATGAAGCAATTGTACCCGTTCTCTATAGGTACAAATGACCTTAATTATATTCAATTTAGACTTTGTTCAAAACGGTTTTGTCACTGTATAAACCGACGACATATGTAATTTATTTTACGGTTTCGGAAAACTGTTGCCAAACATAAAAGTTTTTTTCAGCAGCAATTTTGCACAACTCGTGTATTGGGTAAGAAAAATGAGCAATTTTTACTGAGAATTAGGTGGTGAAAAGTGAATTTCTCAATAAAAATGGATTTCAGACGTCTTATTTTGTTCTTTTTTTTTTTTTTCGTTTCTCAAAGACGGACCATCTGATAACGAAACTCACATAAGAGATTTGATAAAATTAGAACAAACATTTACAAACAAACTATCAAAGACCTCAATAAATATTTTACTGCATTAATAAGGCTGTCAAATGGTCATTGGAACACTCTGTAAATTGAAAAAAAAAAGCCACACAATAAAGTTGTAAGATGTAAATAATAAAATCATTAAAATTTTCAAAAACATTTCTTTATGTTCAGAATTTGTTAACAGGTCTATGATCTAAAAAACTGACGCCTAGCATTCTAATTAAATGACATTCTGTTCAGCAAATTTTCTACTGATCAGCCTATTTACTACTTACAATACCGAAAAATATACATACATATATATAGAAAATTTCATTTTAAAGACTCTTATTTAATTTAAAAATTTTTTACAGGATTAATTTGACTTTTTCTCTACAGGTTTTTTGCTGTTTATAGAATTTCTTTTTTTTTTTTCTTGTTCTTATTGGCATGGCTTTCTGCTCCATTTTTAATTGATCTAGTTAAGGTATATACAAACTTTAAAATTTTTTATTAAAGAAAATCAAACCATATTCGAATTTGGTATATCAACTTCTAAAGTTCAGCATTTATAATATTTAACAGACTTTTTGTTTACTGTTTTAAAAATGCTTGCAATTTTGGTTTGAAAGTGACGAATGTTCATTAACTGGTACCAAATAAAATTGACGATGACAGTGGAAAAATGTCATGTTGTTCTCAGAACTAAAAACTATCACTTCTATAAACGTTTTTTTGTGCTCAATTTTTCGTTTGCGAAAGATTAAGCACTATGATTTGTCTGTTTAAACCTAATGTATTCTCAACAGCAGTTTGTCTGATATGTTACCTATTAGCTACGTATGTTTAATTAGAAAAAATAAAATAACGATCAAATTTACAAGACCAATTTTTAAGATATCCAATAAGCTAAATAAACGGAAGTGGGCAAAAAAGTCTATCAATTATCAAAAAAAAGCATCATAGAATAGATTCAAAAAATTTGAACTTAAAAATGATTCTTGTTATCAAAGCTGTAGTTGGCTATTTTGCAACGATTAAAATTCCAAGTAAAAGTATAATCAGATACTAAAAAGCAAATATAAAATTGAGACATTCTTACTGATAAGAAAAGCAGGTAAATAAAACCTGAGACGGCCAAAATTTTGTCCTTGCTGCTGCTGGTGTTATCAGCTGCTCAGTTTTGAAGCTAAAAAAAAAGGCTGACCTTAGCAGACTTATTTGAAGAGATAAATAAGCTTAATATAAATGAAAAAAAAAA